TGCTGGCGGCTCCGGGTCCTGAGCGGAACCTGGTGCTGCACAGACCTCAGCGAGCGCCCTCCCGCGAGAGGGTCGTTTAAAGGCACCCGGGCCCTGCTGCCCGCTCCCGGTGTGTCAGTTCTGTTCCACCTGCTGCTCCCGCGGAGCGGGCGGGTACCAGCGGGACCCATAGCGCCGGCCCTCCTCGCGGACACGGCTCCCACTCTCGCTCCCCGCGCACTGCTCCCCGCCCAGGCCTTTGATCTCAGAGGAAGGAGGCGAGACGAAAGGAAAGTCTCTTGCCCTCTGAGCCGCCGTCTCCTCAGCTGCGCTGTGTGAGCTTCGAGCAGGCGAGCAGGCGCCCAGAGGTCCCTCTTGCCCCTGGGCCCATCCCTGCAGCTCGCGGCGGAGGCGCTGGTCCTGTGGGGTAGGGACAAGGTAGCGCCTGCATATGACAGGCCCCTTCACCTTTCTGCTAAGAGAACTTGCAACTTCCTCCGGAGGGACACCTGGGCGGGTTGGGTGGGGACTGGTAAAGGCAGCCTTGGTGCGGTGCCCCTTTTTTGGGCCTCAGAGGGGTCACACTCCTGAGGACATTTAAAGGAGAGAGACAGAGGCTTGGAGAGGGTCAAGTGGCGGGGCCTTGGCAAGTTTTGGCGGTGGTCCTTCAGCAGAAGCTCCTGCCCTTTGACCCTGGGCTGGGGCGGAGTGGTGTGGTGGAGGGGGTGAAAGGTAGGGGGAGGCGGTGTAAGGAAGTGCTCTCTCCTCTTTCCTTCATCTGGGGGCTCCAAAGCCAGGGATTCCAACAGCGCCTGTCTTTTTAGGAACAAGGCAACGAGAAGACCAACAATGGCACCCACTACAAGTTACAGCTCCTCTACAGCAACGGTGAGCGCCCCCGCCCTCTGTGTCTAGCTGCCACACAGGCCCCTTTCAAGGAAAGCAGTTGACCTTTGTCCAGGTAGCTTGCAGGCAGTCTGAGGTCCAGGGAGAGCAGGTTTGGGGAGGCTCAGTCAGGGCCCTGGGTGGTGGGGAGGGTCGGGGTGGGGGTAGCCTTTGCCCCCAGGACCTTTCAGCCTGCGGCAGCCCTGGGCAGCTTCCTGGGCCTGGCCCTACAGGAGGGCCAGTTGGGGGTTTGCAGGAGAAGCTTCCGGGGCCCTTACCTTGTGCCCATCGCCTCCCCACAGGTGTCCGCACGGAGCAGGACCTGTACGTCAGGCTCATTGACTCGGTCACTAAGCAGGTGAGCCCATGGTCCACTGGGCTCCTCCTCTGCAGGGCCCCCTTCTGACCCCCCCCACCTTTACCTGCCCTGCTCCCACCCTCCACGAATTTCTGGGTCAGACTTCACATGCCCTTGAACATCAACTCGCACCTTGTTCAGTATGAAAAGAAAATTTCCCCTCTCTCCTCAATTGTTCTGTTTCTTTTTGGGTGGGGAAGTGAGAAAAATGGTGAAGGGAGAAAGCAATTATTGGTAGATTTGGTTCCCAAACATTGCCTTTTGCAAGAAATATGTTCTCGCGGGGCAAACTTGTCTATATTTTGCTTGAGTTAGTCAGGCCACAGCTTGGGGTCTGTGCTTCCAGTGGGCACACCTAATGAAGTGATGGGCAGACAGAGAGGAAGACGGATTCTGTGCTTGCTCTCAAGTCCCCTTTCGCTTGTTTCCGCACTCCCCTCACACTTCCCTTCTTGCCCTTGCCTCCTTCGCAGCCCATAGCATACGAGGGACAAAATAAGAATCCGGAAATGTGCCGAGTTCTTCTGACACACGAAGTCATGTGCAGGTAAGAGCTGCTTTCCCGCGGGCTTTGCTCGCACCCTGGGCAGGGGAGCGGCCTCTGCGCTCAGGGACGCCCCCACAAGGATTTGCAGGAGGGATGGTGCGCAGGGAGGGAGGCTGAGGCACTAGAACGTCTCCTTTACTAAAGGCCAGATGCTTAGAGCATCTCGGAAAGGACACCCAGATCCGCGCAGGATTCCGTCTCCAGGCGTCTGGGGAGTTTTCTCCGCCCGGGACAGTTTCTGTTGTCCAGCAGTCGCGGCAGCTCAGGAAGGCATGGGCAGCCCCAGCCAAGTTTGGAATGGGGACTTCCGTACACCAGGCTCATTCCCACTGGTCTGGCAAGCTCGGGTAGATTTCCAAGTAGGGGTCACGTGTGGCATTCAAGATCAAAGCACGGGAGACTCAGTCTGGGCAAGGACCACCAGAGAGTCCAGTGGCCCATTTCCGGGGCACCCCACCTGAGGCACATATATATGATGCCAAAGCATTTCCTTCCTCCAGGAATGCTGCTTCTCTGACGATTTCTCATGTCAGAGGAGTTTCTTAGGCGAGGAGGAACCATGGGGAGAAAGATCAGAGGGGTTCACCACCAGTGCTGGGAGGGGTGGGAGCGCACCCCATCCAGGGAAGCTGGGTTTGGAGCAGCAGCTGGCTTCTCCTGGCTAAGTTGTGAGAGGAAGTTCTCACGGCCAAGTTGTGTGCTGGAATTTCTGCACCTTTCCCCACCTTGCAGAGACGGATCCAGTCCATTTGAGTCTTTCTTCTGCGTGACTAGAGGAAAATAAAACAATTAGAAGAAATTCATCCACACACTTATTCTTTTAACAAATGTTTATTGAGTTCCTAGTTTTTTCAGGTGTTGGGGATCCCTTAGTAAAGGAGAATTCTCTATAAAAAGGAAACTCTTGGAAGAGGTGGTGATTTTGCTATAAAAATATAAATCTTTGTTACACACACGTTTTTCTTCCTCCAAAATTTCTGATCGGAGAGGAAGCCTCAATTCTTCCTTGCTTCGTGATTGCTTCTGTAAATGTCTTCCAACTCCAGACGTGCCAGTTTGGGGTAATTGGAGGCCGTGGCTGATGTAGCCTGGGACTGTTTTTGGTCAGCTTCTGGCAGTGCTGTCTCCCTCACAACCCAGTCAGGAAGAAACATAACAATTTGACATGTTTGTTTTGGTTTTGACCAAGTATTAGAAAAACAAACTTGGCCAAATGCGAAGTTGAGCTCTGCCAGAGCTGAGGGGTCCTGGCTTCCTTGCCTGAGTAGCTGGGTGAGGCACTGGGCGTTGGAGTAAGCAGATATCCACTTCACCATCCCAGGGCCCCTTCATAGATCCATTTAGAAAGAAAATACAATTGCAAGATGAGCTTGCATGTAATAACTAGACTAAATAGTCAGAACACTGATTCAGGTGGCTAATTGATGGATGCTTTTTAATTTCTCTCTATACTTTTAAATGTCTTTGTTTGGAGAGATTATCTTCTTAAAAGAAAAGAAAGCCCCAAATTGGCCCATTGTCTGATGAATTATACCTCTCATTTTAAAGAATACTTGCACGCCCCATCCAGTGGTATTTAAAGCTGACATTTTTATTTTTAAGCCCAATCAAATCCTCCTCATTTTATGCTGTTTAAGTAGCAGCATCAATTTTTAAAGCCTCTAGTTTAGTCTGCATTAGTAACACAATATAAAAATTTAATGTACTGTAACTTCTCTGTATTTGAGACCTGGGAAGAGATGCTCTGCTATTTTCTTTCCAAAGTAGAATTTAAAACAAATATTAATTAATGGGTAGATAAATGATCCATTGGATGGGTACTGTGTGTGTGTGTGTGTGTGTGTGTGGGTGTGTGTGTAGATGAACGGGGTAGTGACAAATGTTGGATGCAATGTGTCAGTCTGAGCTGACTGATTCTGCAGTTAGGGAGAAAAAGTCTCTTCTCCTACATTTTAAGAGCCCGTTATAGCACTCAGTGGCTGAGGGATGAATCAGATGCCCCGTTCGCAATGGTTAGGGCACCCGGTTTCATTTGTGGGGTGAGTGTTTTGGGGTTTACCTGGGAATTTCCCTGCATGGTTGCATGTTCTGTGATCTTTAGTCAAAAAAGCTCATAAACTAGCGTTTAGCTTTGAGGAAGGAAACAATATTGATATCGTTAAGAATAACTTTTTCTCCCTTCTCCAATTGCTTCTGCTCCCTTCTTCCCTGCTTTAGTTCATTTTGACAATTATTAGCAAAGAGAAATCTAGTTGTTATGTCGCTGCCAGCCACCCCTGCCCTCAAATGCTCAGAGGGTTAAAAGATATTATAATTTGAACAGAAGTCGTCTCAAGGCCTACAGCTGGCTAATAACAGAGTTGTATTGAGTGCGAGCAAACCCCACAGCTGTGACTTTTCGCCACAAGGCGCAGGCTAGACAGGGCCCTAATCAGATGGGCCAGCCGGGCAGTGGGGCCAGTGTCTTTATCGGCCAGATGGTGTGAATTTAGACACTTTTGTTATGCAATCGCAGGGAGGAGTTGGGGAGAAGAAAACAAAACAAAAGCCACCATGCTGTGCGCTTATTTGAGTTTGAAATTAGAGACAGATTTTTGAAAGTTGAGGGTTGAATTTTAAAAACGATTTTGGAGGGGAAAGGGCATATCCACTTGTCTGGAGCAGGAGTTTGCTGACTGGACACCCTGTGTCCAGGGCTGGGCCTTTCTCCTCCAGCGCCCCCTCTCCCTTTCCTTTCTCTCTTCCTGAAAAATCCAGGGAAGATTCAGGATTGGGATAACATTTCTCATTTCCCCAACTTTTTTTTTTTTCTTCTCTTTTCCCGCTCAAGATTCCATGAAAAGATAGGGAGGATGAAAGAGGCCTGTTAACAAATTGCGAGTATTTCAGGTAAAAGGTTCTCCAAATAAGCACCGGAATAAAACAAACCAAACCAACCCAATAGAGAAAGAGCTTTCATTTTTATTCATTAGGATAAAGGGGCACTTCGGAGCCTCTCCGTGGTAGTTAGGATCATAGTCTTAACCTTGGGCCAAGTTCAGTTTCCTCTTCTCTTTGTTCAATTTCCCCCCCTTCTCTTCTTCTTTTTTTTTTTTTTTAAAGTCTTGTTCACTGAACAAGAACTTCAGACTTACAGACTTGCTTGCTGGGAAATAACCCTAAAAGCCTCTTTAGCTAAAGAAACTGAACTTGAAGTTTGTTATCTGCGCAATTCAGGGACCCAGTTCCTTCTCTCAACTACCCACACACCTGGGCCCAGAACGATTGTTTGGGGAATGTGGTTCATGAATGTCTTCCACTCTCCACTCCCCTTTACTCATCTTAATATTCTGGTGTGACGACTGAATGTCATTGAAGCAGCCAAACGAAGAATAACTAGGACATCTTGATGAGAATTTTTCTTCAAAAAAGGAAAGAAAAAGAAAATTAGCTTTGGCTAACCCAGAGAAATTTTAAGAAGGGCTCTAATGGGGCAAATACAGTCCACTCCTATTATTTTTATACCTTTATTTTTATAGTGCAACAGCCAAGTAACTGCCTTCTACATCTTTTCTGTGCTATTAGCATTAGAGATTATACTTAAATATGTGACTGTTGGAAAAGAGAAGATTGGGTCCTGAAATCTCTCTGCATTTTCTTTAAATATCATTTCCTTCCCTGAGCCGAATCCCCACATTGTATTACACTGGCACCAGGCTTACATTTTTATCTGTTTTCTTTTCCTCCGAGAAACTCCCCATGGAAAGCAGCTGAATTCAGCTGAGCAATTTTGCAAACTTACTCAGCCTCCTCGAAATCATTCCTTCTCAAACTAAACAGATTGGCACGTTCTAGCAGTGTGCGCTCTTGGAATTAAATTGTACACAGCATCAGACACGCATTTGGGTTAGGTTGACATGCCGGTGATGTCAAAGGGGAGGCTAGGTAAGAAGGCTTTAGGTAACTAGCATGGATGGGGCTTTTGAAATCCTGTTGCTAAGAAAAAAGGTTTGCCTGAACTACAAAGGTATCTCCTGACAGAAGCCACTGAAAAAGGAGAGGTGGGAGACAGAAATGGGTGGGGGCAGGAGTTGGGAAGAAAGACACAAGCTCTGGGAGTGGGAGAGCAGCTGGTCAGCATTTTTATTGGTGTTAATCTTGGGATGGACTGAAATTTTAAAAGTTGAGACCTAACATAATTTCAAAGGCAAAATATTGTTTCAGAAAGTCCCAGGGGCAAGCTCTGGTATTTAAGAAAATTGAGACACTTTTTCTTTTACTTCTTACTAATTTGATTAAATTTCTTAAAACCTCGTTGTACCCATTTGGTGAAAGTTTTTTTTTAAACATCTTTCAAGTATATTCTACTTTTTGAGAATGGTAAAATTATTCACTAAATAATCCACATGCCCCTGCATGAGAGAGATGGATTTAAAAAGTTGTAAAGTAGTTCTTTGTTTGTTTGTTTGTAATTCTGTGGAGGACCTGAGATGGTGAAAGCACTGCAGAGAACCAGAAACTAAATTTATCCCTGGGCTGTGCTAGGCCTTTGAGTTCCTGCTGCCACATGGCTTCTCTCTTTTCCTTAGCCTGTCATCACTTTTGAAGGGTGCTCAGGGAATCCCATAGCCTCCTGGACTTATACTAGAAGGAACTCTGGAGATAATCTAGCCCAACATTTTAATTTTATATATAGGGAGGCAAAACCCAGAGGGGTTAAAGAGATTAGACTAAATTCACGCAGCTGGTTTGGGACGGAGTTGGGTTAGGCACCAGAGCTCTGATTCCCACGTTAACATTTTTTTCTATTGGGCCACGCCAACCTTAAGCTACAGAGGAACTATCAGGGGAAGGACCGCACTTACATGTAATTTTATTATTGCTAAGGCTTATTAGGCATAGTCTCCAAACAGTGCGGATGATAATGCTTTTCATATAAGCCCTGTCAGGGTGATAGGCAGTGCTGGCCATGTGCTTGAGTGAGCTGAGAGGTATTCAGAAGTTTGTGGTCCTGACAAGCAGCACTAGGGCAACTCAAGGAGGTGGTGTCCCATTGCTTCTCCACCACCAAGCTGCCTCTGCCCTTTTTACATCCCTCTAGCTCTCCCATACAGGGCCCTTTGATGGGAGTGTTTTCCTTCTGCAAAGTCAAAGGACCTTCTGAGTACTTCCTACCTATTGCACTTGTTCTAAGACCTCTTCTTTGTCTGGTGCATCTCCAGCATCGTCCAGCAGGTGCAAGTTTGGGGAGGGAGTGTTTTCAAGATGGGAATGGTACATCCAGTCCCATTTCGGTTCCATGACTTGGTGAAAAGGATTGGAGCTATAACTTTACAGCTCCCTGCCTCATTTTCTTCCTATTTTAAAATACATGCCGTAGTTCTGCTCTTCCTCCTTCATATTTAGAACATAACGGAAATGGATGAAGGCATAAATGTTTATAAAGTACACTGAGTTTTCTGGAGAAAGATGTTATGTAAATAAGGTTGGTAAAAATACAGGCAGCTATTTTATACATTTTCCTTTTCCTTCTTTCTCTAAATATATGTTAAGACACAAAGATCTAAAATGTATAGTCATTAAAATCATTCAACACTGAGCTGGAAATAACATTATAGATTTTTAAATCCAGCTGTCTCTGGTTCAGATTACAAATATGATTCTTGGGAAAATTATGAATTGCTAAGAATTACCTGGTTTATAAGTCACAGAGTGAGAATTTAAATGAGTATCTCTGGGCTTCAAGTTCACTATTGTTTTTAAACATGGCGATAAATTCTGCTCTCAAGCAGCGGATAGTGAAGAGGCTACCCAGGACATGCTAATTTTTGTGTACGTCCCTACATTGTATGCTTATTGTTTTTTCTTGATTTTAACAAATTTCCTTTACTTTTTTGGTTCCTTCCCGATCTACAGTCGATGCTGTGAAAAGAAAAGTTGTGGAAACCGAAATGAGACTCCTTCAGACCCTGTCATCATCGACAGGTAGGGGGAAAAAGTGATTTAAAAAAAATAATTTCCTTTATGAATCTCAACTCTGAGTACTGATCACTTGGGCTTTGTCGTAAGGTTGGTTTTATGTTACCTTCAAGGCATGATGCTAGTTCAACATGCATTTTCTTGTACTGGTTGGCCTTTCTTGGAAGACGTCAGAACCATCCCTTTTGAACTTAGGTCTCTAAATCCACGACAGGATTCTTTTCCAGGTGCATTTGCTTCAGCCTACTAGGGAGGGCGTGGATGGTAGGAGATGCCATCTCTCTTACCTGGCAGGGCAGGACCTCAGTCAGTTTGCTGAAAGAGGCAGTGTATCCCAAGTCAAGTGGCAACCCCTGTATGGTTCTCAGTGATTGCTGTTGGGCGTGATGACTTCTAGTTTAGATTACGGCTTAGGGGATTATGACAAGCTCTCTATTGCATTGAGGGAGATTCCTTTCTATGACAGAGGATTGCATTCTGGGTCCTGTGTTATATTCAGAGTGGGTAAGATTCTTTGGGACAAGATGCTAATTCATTGAAATGTGAGTTAGGCATCCTCAGCTGTCTGTTTTTGTGATTGGAAACAGAACTTATAAACCAATGAAGAAATACCAAATTAACTTCCAGCAATCATGTAATTTTTAAGAAATCCCATATTCCCACCCCTAATTTTTCCTCTTTCATTAAAAAACGGAATAATTCCCTGTTGCTTCTTTCTTTGGGTTTTCATGTTTCTAGCCAGGTCCTGAAATGGATTGGAGAGACCACAGTCTCCAAAGTTGTTATTCCAATATTCCAGTGAATCCTCAGCTGGGAGAATGAAACCTCTGGCATTCTTCCCAGAAACCCAGCTCGGTTTCTTCGTGGAAAGTATAGCATAGTCTTAGGAACAAGGGGGCTAGAATTCTTATTCTGTCCTAGCTTCTGACCTTGGACAAAGCACTCAGTACTTCTGTTCTTTAATAGTACAGTGGGAGAAGAGTTGGAGGGTACTGCCTACTTGCCCATGTTTGCACAGCTGGTTGGAGCAGAGCTGGCACTAAAGAAACAGTTGTCCTTACCTCCTCTCACTGCCATAAGCCCTTCTCCAAGCCCTCTCTGTTCTAACTTATGTGAGTTGGGTGTGCTGATTGCATGGGATGTCCATTCCCAGCTTCCCAGGATAGCCTTGGGATCCTCTGGGGGAGTTTGAAGGGTATAAGAGCAGCCTAGACACAGATCCAGTCCTTCCAGCGTGTACCCTGAGCTTTTTAATCTTCATGTAGTCTTTTTTCACGAACATTTGCTGTCCTTTTAGGAAGGCACTCTATCATTGTTACATGTTTTCTTGCAATAAACACCCTTAAATCAGCTTTAGAAATATTGGCAAACCTATAAATGCTCACCTGCATCTTGCAACTCGGAAGCACACATCCTAACGACTCTGAGCTTAGCAGCAGCTCTTCCTGCAAGAAACTACATAGAGTTATACCCACAGATAAAGCTGACTATGCTGTGTTTTCTGCCTATGCAATACACATGTTACGGATACAAAAAAAATGTAGTCTTTTTGCATCTATGGGAAAAAATATTTTCATATTTGGTGCCTTTGTTGTTGGTGCTAGAATGCCTTAAATTCTTCTGAGGAGGTGGAACCTGTATCTTGGCTGCTATATTATGGAGCTTTATGTGACTGTGGCACTTATTTTTACTGTCCTATGCACAATAAAACAACCCAGTGAAGTCTCTGCATCACTTGAAATATGTGTTACTTCCAAAATGTTTCACGTCTACACATAACATACCAAAGGGTACTGTAAATTGATCAGTATCACGTTTTTAGAGAAAGCATTTTATTATAAACAGATGCATTTATTTGTTTTGCTCATTGTAGGTTTTTTGTTGGAAGAGGTTTTTCCTTCACCAGAGTCTTGTTTTATTGCTGTTGAATGTCTTTTTGGTGTGCCTTAGCCTTCTTCCCTTCATTTGCGGAAGCATAAGTGGATGCAGCCAGGTTTCCGTTTGTTGAAGGTGGGATGGGTGTCATCAGCGGTTTGGCTGAGTTGTGCAGCTGGTCCCTGGGTTCAACGCCTGCTGACTTGGAGATGTCGAGATCACCCATGAACACCAAACGGGTGCAAAGTAGTCTATTTTGGATTTTCTCTGGGTAAATATAGGACTCTCTTCTTTGCCCTTGTTCCTACAATGCCAACTAATTATCTCCTCCCCCTCCTGGCTCAGTCTGGCCAGATGCAGTTAATTTACACTGTCTCTCCCTGAGTTTTCTCACACAACAGGCACGCTCCACTCTGGCCCCAGGGAACTTTGTTTATTCCCCAGAATTGTGCCTGTTTGGGGGCGGGGATGAGGAGGCTCAAGAGTGGTTCCCCAACTTTTCATCACCCAAGACCTCTTTATTTTTTCCCTTGGTGAATCCAGGGTTTTGCAAAATTTTGCTTGCCAACCTGCAGTTAGCAAGTGCTAATTTAGTTGTAAATCCATTTTTATTAATCAAGGACATGTACCAGAATGGGAAAGAAGAATTTCATCCCAGAAATGCCCTTGATCTCATCAATGACGGACCAGAGTTTTTGATCCTGGTGAGACATGATATGTCATGTTACCCACTGACATGATAGACTTTCAGCTCAGCCAGAAAACAACTTGACCTTTCACTTAGCCCATGTGACCACATCCTGAGCAGATAATCAGTTTCTAACAGGATGCTTGAAATATATATAAAAAAAATAGCTTTTGCTACCTTGTGGCCCCTTAATTGAATATTATTGGATTTTACAATAGGATGCCCCCATAGAGACTTAGTTCTCCCTTTCCGAAGACTTAGCCCCAGACTGGGAATTCTTTTTCCGCACTAAATTACTCCCTGACTGATCTCTCTAGAAACATAAATTTAATTTTTACTTTCAGTTGTCTGTTCAGCGTGCTTTTGTGAATTCTTGGGCAGCCACACCCCTCTCCCAAAAGCCGGGCCAGCATCACTTGCTATGAATCATAGCCTTAAGCAAAGTCTTTCTTCTACATAAATGTGTGTGTGCATAAAGAGAGGGGGGGGGGCTTATTAACTTTTAGTGTAAAATTCCAAAAGTCCCTATCTGGGGAAACCCAACAAAACACAATAGAACAAAGCAAAAACAATGAAAACTGAATCCTTACTGTGGTCATCCACCTAAATCTTACCCGTAAAGACCTGTGTGTGGTAAATTTAAAAAAAGGCTCACACTGATTTACATTTTGTGGTTTCAGAGGGAAGCTCTAATTCAACCTTGTTTTTCATGGGTTGTACTAGCTCAAACCCTCTTCTCTCTCTGGAAGCTTCTGCATATCTACAGACTCTCTGGGGCTCAGGATAACCTGGTGGTCCCTGGGAAGAGGACTGTAGGGACAGTCTCATTGATGTGAGGCAGGAAAAAGTCCTTATGGCTTCTATACTTGCAGCCCCATTAAAAGTCAGTTGGGCAGGCAGGGCAGTATTTCTTTTTGAATCTTTGAAGGCTAGCCCTGCCCATGTGCACAGTGGTAGGATATTTTCTATTAAAAGGGTAGTTCCAACCTATTTCTCACATGCTACATATCCCAGTCTTTTGCCTTGGGACATGGGTCTCCTATATTTCTAAGCTTTGTTCCCAAGGGGCCATTTTAAGTACTGATGTGTTTTTGTTCATTTTCTTTTTCAAGAAGCCAAATAAACAACAGAATAACTCTCATTCAAAAAGTTTACTCAGAAATGTTTGGTGTTTAGTTGTCCATGAGGGGTTTTCCTGATATTATCTTCCTCTTTTAAAAAAATTAATTATGGTAAAATTGGCCATCTTAACCAAGTGTTCAGTTCAGAGCTATTAAGTATATTCACATTGTGGTGCAACCACCACCATCCATCAATTTATCTCTACTCTTTCCATCTTGCAAAAACTGAAACTGTCACCATTAAACCACAACTCCTCATTCCCCCTTCTTCCCAGCCCCTGGCAACCACCATTCTACTTTCGGTCTCTGTGAATTTGACTCCTCTGAGTACCTCAGGTAAATGGAGCCATGTAGTATTTGTCCCTTATGACATGCTTATTTCACTTAGCATCATATCCTCCAAGCTTCCTCCATGGGTCAGAATTTGGCCATTGTGAATAATGCTACTATGAGCATGGGTAGACAAATATCTCTCTGCTTTCAATTTTTTTTTTTTGTATATGCCCAGAAGTGGAATTGTTGGATTCTATGGTGGTCCGAGGAACTGCCACTGCCATACTCTTTCCATTGTGGCTACACCATTTTATATTCTCACCAACAGTGCAGGTTCTAATTCCTCTACAGCTCCACATTACTTGCTATTTTCTTGTTTTTAGATTGTTGTTGTGTTTTCATAGTTGCCGTCCTAATTGGTATGACTCTTCTTTTAGATGATGTTTTCTCCTGCCGTCATGTTGGTAGGCATCTTCACCTGATGCTTTCCCCTCGGGTCCAGGCTTCTTGTGTACCTTCCCTGCCATCTAGCTCATCATCTTCCTGCCTTCCTCTGCCTCACCAACTACCTTGTCCTACGTGCTTGAATCCTCTTTCCTTTGGGTCATGCCTTTCTCCATGCGTCACTTTACCTCAGGAAGAGTTATTTGTAGGATGGGAAATTCTGGAAGATAACTGTGAGGAGTAAATCCCTGGCTGACTATCCATGCATTAATCCTGAACACTGGAGTTTTTTCTTTTTGTTAATTTATCAAACGAAATCTACAGTAATCTATTCTTGATTTGTGGCATAGATTCTGCTTGTAAACCCCCTGTCTCTTTCAGCATTGAAGCAGGATTTGGATAGTACCGAGCTCTTGGTGAGGTTTATGTCCATAAAGCCCAGCAGATCCCTGCCATCTTAGGCCACGAAGGCTGGTTTTCATTCCTATTCATTCCCTTTCCCCGGAAATAGACAAGTCAGATATATTAGTAATGACATCTCCTGAACTGTTAAAGAATTCTATCTCTGAGAAGGATGGATAAGACCAGTACTCAACATTTACCTA